ATCATTACATATACATTCTTAAATAGAAAAATCCAGGAGTTTCTCCAGACTCAATAAAAATTCTTGATATGAAGTTGAGCTGACACACAGGTGGGGATTTCTTTAATAATTTAATTTTAGTTTACAGCGAGCATGTACTAATTTTAAAATCAGGAAAAATAATAAAATACTGTGATCTTCTAGGGACTCAAGACATAGTTCACTATGATCTGAATTTAAAAGCATCCAATTTAGATCAATTCATTTTTATGACTTGATGGGGACAGGCAGCCACTTGGTCTCCACAGATACCTCAGAGCAATCCAGGGTGCACATATCTGTCTAAAAACACAGTGATCTGCCTGAAAGGTCCAACCATGCCACTGATCCAGGGAGGTGTAGGAGGAAGATCCCCAGACTTCAGAAAAGACTTTTCCCTGGACAAACACTACATCATTCCACATCCTTCCCAGCCAAGAGACACCAAGCCTTTCTTAAGAAGCATTAGGGCCTCCAGGTTTACCAGCCTCAAACATGCCACAAATTGTGTAGAGAAAGAGAAATGTGAAAAATATTGGAAAGAATGGAATAGAGGGTCTGAGCTGATAAAGTTTCTTCTTGTTGTTGTTACTATCATTTAATAAGTCAATTTAAAACTGTAACACTGTAGATAATAATCATCTATATATGCTTTTGTTATCATTTGACATACATTTTGGGAAAACGTCGTAACTTAATGAAAAAATAAAAGATAGACTCTGTATTTGGTACTTGGAACTATGTTTTCCACTAAAGTAGGACCTGAAGGTGAGTGAATTTCTATTTTACAATCACTCCACAAACCTTTTCCATTTTTCCTTGAAAATCTTTAAGATTTACTTGGAATGCAAATTAAATATATAGCTTTACTATTCATTTGAAGCTTGCAAATTAAATGTTGGTAATTGATCATTGATAATTAAAGAAAATAATTGTGAGTTTAGAAGTATGCAGAGTGCTGGAAAAAAAGAATAATTTAATCAGGCCCCCTTGCTTGCCTGTCTGGTTGGGGGTGGTGTGGCACATTCTTTGTAAGCAAATTGTGTGTTCGGGGGTGGAGTTAATGTGCATGCGGGGTGCCGCAACTTGGCTGGCATCTGCCTCAGGCGTCCACCTGCGTGGCCATGCTCTTGAACCTATGGCTTCCAAGGACCTTTTTGCTGGTTACCTAGCTCATAGACCTGCTTGTGAGGGGTCTGGGGACCCAGCCTGGCATGTGAAGGGTTTGTGGCCCAGTCTGTGAATGGGCTTGAGGGGTCTGTGAGTACCAGACCCAGCCCTAGCTCAACAATTGGCCCAGTTGGCAGGATTATAAGCAGGTAAAAGAGCTCAACACAGAGCATGTCAGAAGGAATAATTAATCAGCATTACCTAAGCATTCATCTGAAATTAGTTTTTCATTGCACAAACAAGAATAGTCATCTTATTAAGTTGCCTCGGAAGGACTGTGAGCCAAAAGGTCAAAAATCTCATGTTGAGTTATCCTAACCTAGCACTTGACTCTTCCTTTTCAAACTATTTATTTTTAAAGCTTCGGTGAAAAAAACACTGTTTCTGAACTTTTGCAACCTGCTGGACAGCCTCTGAGGCAGCTGCCTGAAGCAAATGGTTGGCTCAAAAGCCTCGTGGTGCAGACTGTGTCAGATCCTTTCCTGTCTGGCTTGACAGCGCAGCTTCAGACAACAAACAACGGGAATGCACAGCAGAGGTAGTTTGCTCACGTACTCAAAAAGGGAAGAGTATTTTTTTTTTAATCACTGTCTTACCAAAGCTGAATGACTCTGGAAAAACAAAGTCATTATGAAGAGCTAATAACGCTGAATAGAGAGCAGTCAGGGAAGCAGAGAAATGCTTTACAAAGTCCAAACACCCCCAGGGGATCGAACAAAACAAACAAACACAAAGAACGTGTTCCTGATAGCACGTGCAGTTGGTTCAGGGAGACGAAAGGTGTCCCCACATGGGGACATCAGCACCCCAGCTCTAGAAGACGGAGGGGCTTCTGCTGTGCTGTGATCCCCCTCGCAACACCAGGCCCTCGGCGTGAGCTTCTGGAGAAGGAGGGGCCCGGCAGCAGCCCAGGATTTTTCCCAGAAGGAAGCCAACCAAAAGAAGAGAGAAGAGAACTCCTTATTCTTCTCCCCAAAGGCATTTTCTAAAATGTCAGATGGAAGAACTTGCAGTTCTCACATGTGTGATGAAAGCAAAGAACTGTCTGCTGCGAGAAGAGAACTCCGGGTCATCCACACACAGGGACAACTCTATTTCAAATAGAAGCCACTCTTAGAACAGACTTCAAGTTTAAAAGAAATTGTTTGAAACATCGTTGTTCTTGCAGAGATCATGTGCAAGTGGCTGAGGTTTCAGTCTCTGATAGTAGACTGCCTATGTTCTGATCCCTGTTCCTCAACATACTGCCTGTGTTTCCCAACACAAGTGACAACCTCTCTGCCTTGGTTTCCCCATTTTTGACATGGAGACAATGAGAGTATCTCTTTCTCACAGGGTGGTTGAAAGGATTTATATGGGGTGTTTAGCCAAGTGCCTATGCTAAATACTAAATATTGGTTTAGTGTGAATACTAAACCGATGTTAGCTTTATCATTATATACAACAGGCTATGTGTTGTAGCCACTATATCTTCTATGATTCAGGCCACTGGACCTCACCCAAACCACAAGCAAGATGCCAGGCCAACGAAGAATGAGACAGGCTCTGGAGCAAAGATCCCTTGATCACAGAGGATAAGAGATAGAGTCTCTTTCAGGTCTTCCCCCAACTCAAAATCTAGCAAGAATGTCCAGGGAGGGCGTGGAAGTCTTCAAGCCCACAGGGTGATGCCTGGAAAAGTCAAAGCAGCCAGCAGCCTCCTGGGACTGTTATAAGCATGCTAGCAGGACCAAAGGGAGACGGGTCATTGCCTTGATTCAAAGGAAATGGCCAGTATGGTCAGACACACGGGGATGAATCTATAGGAAGGCAGTGCTTATAAGGAGAGTAACTGTTCTCTCTCCAACCTTGTCTCTGGTGCTTGAGATTGCTCTAACAAGGAACAAAACTTCTTATGCCACAGAGCTAAGGCCCATTGATCAAATTCATATTAAATTTTTTTTTTAAGTTTTGTTTGTTTTAGAGGGGGTGGACAGTGTTTCTGGAAAACAGCTGAAAAATACAGTGGGATGAGAGAGGTGTTCAAAAGAGAGAGACTAGTGTCACCAACCCTGTTTGTTTATACCCAGCAAAAAAAAAAAAAAAAAAAAAAAAAATTAAAGTGCCCCTTCCAATAAAATGAATATCAAAAAAGGAAAGGTCCATATTGAAAATTACAAATAATGAGTATTTTGCAGTTAATTTCCTTTTTACCTTCCTTGTTCCCTAAAAACTTGTTAAGATTTCTTTCTCCCTACAGCTTTACTGAAATGTTTATAAATTTCCTTTGCTTTGCCACAGATATTTTGCTTCCGAAGCATAATTTCACTGGCTGGTCTTCCATCCAAATGTCAAATGACTTTTTAGTTTTATGACAAATGACTTTTTAGTTTTATGACTTGAGTGCTTAAGATATAACTTAGTGCCACTAACAATCCAAGTGCGTGCCATCCAAAATTCTTTTTTTTTTTTTTCCTTTTTGTCTTTTTTCGTGTCCGGCAACGGATCGCAGTCTGTATGTGGGGTCCGAACCCTCGGCGGGAGCGCCGCCACGCTTCCCAAGCGGCGCACTGCAGCAGTGCGCCACTGGGCCGGCCCCAAAATTCTTATAGATGAGAAAAATATAGGTCCAAGAAAATTGATTAATATCAGAATTTTGCAAAGTAGAAATGTAGATCAACTAAAAATAGTTTAGAAACAGCTGAACGGCCCTGAAATGTCAGCTTAAGGTCTGGACTAAACTGGTTTCTTTGGAATCGTGTCTAAGATTTGCTAAAATAACAGAAGTTGTGCTGTCAAAGTCAATCCACTCAGAGATACTGGCCATGACCCACTATTAGTAATGTGAACTGTGATGGGAAGTGATGCACCCCAGTACTTTTGGCTTCAGAGACAACCTGATGCTTCAAGTCTACCTTTGTTGAGCCTGGAAAATTACTGTATTATGTGGCTTTCCAAGGTCTTGTTGAGCCTGTGATTTTACAACCCTTTATATCACATACCTACTTGCTTTTGCTCTGAGTCACCTCATTTTTCCTACCTTTGCCCAAGTAGCTTAATGAGTTTTAAGTTAGGAAACTATAGTGAATTCCAAAAATCTTAACATACTTCAGATTTGCTGCTAGAAAATATATGCTACTTACCTTTATTAGTTTCAGAGTGAAAAGTACAGGATCATGGGCCTATATAAGTACATGGTTCCCATTTTCAAAGCTCACATGTTCTTTGCCTGACTGGGAATTGTTTGTGGCTTTATGTTCTCAATACTTTGATGGATGTCAATGATACGTCTGATAAAGAGCTTTTAGCAAAAATGTCAAAGGATTGGGCCGGCCCGGTGGTGCACTCAGTAGAGTGCGGCGCTTGGGAGCACGGCGGCACTCCCGCCGAGGGTTCGGATCCCATATAGAGACCGGTCCGCTCACTGGTTGAGTGCGGTGCGGGCGCGACACCGAGGGTTGCGATCCCGTTACCGGTCACGGAAAAAGACAAAAAGGAAAAAAAATGTCAAAGGATTGGGCCGGCCCGGTGGTGCACTCAGTAGAGTGCGGCGCTTGGGAGCACGGCGGCACTCCCGCCGAGGGTTCGGATCCCATATAGAGACCGGTCCGCTCACTGGTTGAGTGCGGTGCGGGCGCGACACCGAGGGTTGCGATCCCGTTACCGGTCACGGAAAAAGACAAAAAGGAAAAAAAATGTCAAAGGATTGTGTAAATCCATGCTCACTAAAACTCCAAAACAGAGCAGCAACTTTCATTTAGATGACTGACAGCCAAAATCAGTCAAACCAAGAAATTCTTCAAATAGAAACACGACTGAAACATCTCTCTTACCATTTTGAATGAGGGTTTGTGACCGTGTGAACCTTCCATGAACAGCTGTCATGTGAAGTGGACTTTTGCCATCTTTACTCTAAAAAAAAGAGAAAGAAAGAAACAATGGAGGTGCTCATGAGCCAGTGACATCCATCTGAAATATCACTGACAATGCCCTGAAAACACCAATTTAATTTTTTTTAAGTATGATCAACAATTACAAGAGGCAAAGATCATTTTGAAAGAAAGAGATAAAATGGATATGACTTTTCAAGTTACTGCATAACATCACACTTTAAAGAAACTTAGAGAAACAATCATCAAAAGCATATTTTTCCTCTCCTGTGATATACTGACAAAGGAGGTTTCCTTCAAGGTATGTTTTTTTCAACTTTTATCTATAGTTCACACACACAAAAACAAATGAGGTGTTAATTTGCATGGTCCTGTTTGACCTAAAGTTGACTAACCTGCTGTAAATCACAGCAACTCTCAAAATTCACCTGGAACCTTCCATCATTCCCTACATTACATTTCCATAGAAAAACAACACTTTTGTTTGTTCCAAAAGAGAATCTCTTGCTTCACTTAACTCATTAGAAATCACAGGATTAAAGCATGCAACTGTTTAGCAACTTGTCATTTTAATGATCAGATGGAAACGTGCAGAATTTATACATCTCTTACTATTTGTGATATAAATTATGAAACTTCCTGGCATATATTAAATCAAAATATGGAAAATGTACAGAATCTATATACTGATCATCATTGTGCCAAATACCAAAGTCCTACATATTTAATTAAGAAATAGTCATTTATAGAAGTTCTTCTGAAAATAGTCGGGCCCAAAAAAAAACATTACTATTACTTTAGACCAAAAGTACCCCCAATAGAGAGAATGTATTTTCATTCAAATACTGTGTTTTTTTTAAAAGAAACTATGTAATACTGATTTTTCTACGTTCCAGGAGAAACATTTTTCTAAGGTTAAAAATATGAAGTTTCAAAAATGCATGTTCAATTTTGTGATGAAACCCAAATCTTTGTGCTTCATAATGACTCTTTGTTTTAGAAATTCCACACTGGAAAACAATCATTTAAATAAGTATTTCTTAGAGTAGACCAAAGATTACCTACATCTGAATCACCGAGGGTTCTTATTGGAGATATGAATTCTGTGCCCTAACACAGACCTGTTGAATTGGAATTGGGGTAAGGAGGTCCCCATTTCTAACTTGCACAACACACGAAAGTTCAAGAGCCATGGCTTTAGACTGTGAGCTAAAATAGTTTATAAAACCACAAAGTTTTAGCAGAAGACTTTTAACTATATCCTGTAAGTCTGTTCCTCAGAAAGAAGGAAAAAATTATACACAGTCTATGCCAAGGGAAAATTTAATCAAAGCAGTAACTGCATCTTGATTGAAAAACATATAGTTAAAAGTTCTCGGGTAGATGGGAAAAAATTAGAAACAGTAGAATCCTCTCTCCATCTTATGTGACCATAACATGAATCAGAAAAGACTGAGAAAGGAGGATGAAAGTAAGCTTGAAGGTTTCCTAGAAATAATATTATTAGAGAAAAAAGATATCTCAATCAAGAGAATGAGGAGATGTCATCATCACTGATCACAGACAGACAGTGGGAGAGAGTTTCTAAAAGTCATCTGACTCTAGAAATTGGTCCTGGCTGTCAGAACTTCAGGAAGTTCAAAGGACTGAAAAGCCTGGGAACCATTCTGGAATAAGGGTTTAAAACATACCTTTCCAATAAAAAAGTGATGACAGTCCCAGACTGTTAAGGAGAGAGAAGGCAGAAATTACAGAGTTGACATTAACTTGTCCCTAGGTGGTGCTATTTCTTTAAATTTTGCTCCAGTATTTTCTCTTAAATTTAATATGAAAATATAAGTAATCCTGATGTCATTAAATATACATAAAGTTATAAATACTCCAGTGTTTAGAAAATATATTCATAAATATTTAACCAAGCATTTTCCATGCCTAGAAGAGCTTACAGGCTTTATCAAGCAGTAACCACCAACTTGGTGGTATCTATCTAAGTTGTAGGCAGAGCCAAAGCAGAAGTGAATGGGGTTTCTGTAGTGTGCAGAGTGCAAAGCTGGCCCCATTTCAGGGATAACAAACCACACCCTTCTTCTTTTATGCTTGTGGTTCTGGTAAAGGGACAAATAAATAGAGATGAACAAAGTTAGGTAAAAAGCAAAGGACAGGTATATGGTGTCAGTGGTAACGTTTGCTTCAATTCTGTCCTTGAAGATCTTTGGCTGAGTTCATCTACCACTGAGTCAAGCCCATAGCTGATTTTGTTTTTGTCATAAGGATATAGGTGGCAGAGGTGGGAGAGGTGGGAACAGGAAGCATTAAGAGAATCATGACAGCAATTTGGGGGCAGTTTTGACTACATGGTGTGGGTGTAAAAGGGAGCTCATTATTTCAAAAAGCCAACACAGCTCAAAAGGATAATACTTTTTATTTAGACTTTAAAAGTTAGAACTCAGAATATTCAGGTTGAGACTAGGGATCCTACTGAGGTTCATTATCTGTCAGAGAAATTTTTCACCTGGGAGACTTGGCTGTTGCTGCCGCTCCTTGAACTTCAGACAAGGATAAAACATTCCTTGCATTTTCAAAGGAGAGGATATGTTCAATTCTTCCATTTATTCAATGATTCGCTTTTATAAAAACTTTTCTTAATTTCTAAATTCCCCCATTTAGGGGGTTGACATTTTTGTTATTAAAGCTCTCCTACTAATTTAGGCACTGCCAAGCCCTAAGTCACTAAGAATATTTTATGACAAATAGGAGGATGAAGAATATTTTATGACACATATGAGTACTCTTTCAGGGCAGAACTCAACATTGCCCAAGGAAGATTAATCCTTAAACTGAACTGAGTGTTTCCATTTTCTTGACCACCATTCTCCTCAGAAATCCATTCATTCTTTTCTTCCATTCCTAACACCTTCTTTCCTCAACCTCCAACATCCCACAAGCCTTTTCTAAACTTATAGACATTGTTACTCCCTGGGGATTTGAAAGCATTATGTTCCTTGCGGCATGATGCCCCCTGGAGTGACATAAATCACTGGTCCTACTGAAGGCAACAAAGCCTCTGTGGATAACACTAAGGCCAGCCAGGGGGCGGGGGTGTCAAGTATAGTCAGAAACCCAATAAGCTTCCTAATTCAGTGGAAGAGCCACCTACAATACAGCCATGCATCGCTTATCAACAGGCATACATTCTGAGAAAATCATCATTAGGTGATTTTGTCATTGTGTGAACATCGTAGCGTGTACTTACACAAACCTAGATGGTAGAGCCTAGTACACACCTAGACTACAGGGTGTGTGGTAGGAGCCTATGGTCCTAGGCTACAAACCTGTACAGCATGTTACTGTACTGAACACTGTAGGCAACTGTGGCACAAGGGCAAGTATTTGTGTGTCTAAACAGACCTAAATATAGCAAAGGTACAGTGAAAATACAGTGTAAAAGATTAAAAATGGTACACCTGTAAAGGGCACTTACCATGAATGGAGCTTACAGGACTGGAAGTTGCTCTGGGCAGGTCAGTGAGTGAGGGGTGAGTGAATGTGAAGGCCTAGAGCATTACCGTGCACTCCTGTAGACTCGACAACACTGTACACTTAGGCTATGCTAAATTTAGTTTTTAAAAGTGATTGCACTACAATGTCACAACATGTTACTAGAGAATAGAAACTAGCTACAATGTTACTAGAGAATAGGAATTTTTCAGCTCCATTACAGTCTTATGGGACCACTGTCATATATGTGGTCTGTCGTTGACCAAAATGTTGTTAGGAGGCTCATGATTGTACTGGTTTGAAAATGCCACAACAGTTCAATTTGTTTTGTTTTGTTTTATTTCAAATGGTTCTAAAGGCCAGGGATGGTATGTGGCTAGCTCAGTCATTCATTCTTCTCCTTCCTCACTTTCTCTCCAAAGTTCCAAGTGCCATGCCCTGATCACTGCTTACTCTTGCCTATTCCGGTTTTCACCTTCAACTTCTGCAATACAACCCATTCTAGAATTTGGTCCTGTTACATGCAAAGAAGAGAACCAGTCCACTTTTTCAGAAATGTGATGGGCTTCAGCTCCAGTATCTTAGAGCTAAATGATCTCAGGGCCCATGGACGGAAAAGAATTCAGACCATGGGCAGCTAAATGTTAGTGACAAGGAGGTAGGCATCCTGGCAATGGTAATCTCTGAGTCTATCTGCCTAAGTCATATCCAGCATGACTATGTGTACAGTGCCATTATTGTTTACTTGTAGTGCTTGCAAAAAGAGTCTTGAGATGCTGCAGAAATTACAATGTGGTCTGTGACAGAGATGAAAAATCTTTTTATGCTTTCTTATGCTCTTGCTATTTGCAAATTACAAGTGAACCTGATAGAGATTATTTTATAAAGTATTGTATCTTTATTATTTTATCACAATTAGACTAATATTACAAAGTCAAAGACAGGGCCATGGTCAATCTAAGCAAAATGAGGGGACTGCAAAATGTGTGCAGAACACATACCCTCCTCCTCTTTCCACCAATCTTGTAATTGCTCATGAAGACATCACTTTTGGTATTTTGTTAGAATAGAGGAAAACAAAGTAAATATGTGGGTGTGTGAACTGGCTGCATTTCAATACGCTGTTTCCCTAAAACTTTGGAAAATCTAAAATTGTCTTGCAATCTACAAACACTCAAAATCCAAGGAGCACTGTGGTAGGGAGAGATAACAACTTTAATTAGAAAGATACTTACAGAGTCAGAAAGGGTGGCTCTACAAAAATATTAGATGATCCGTGCATCCAGAGAGCATCTGGAGCAACCAAGGAGGACTCAAAGGGAATTAGAAGTCAGAGGACGTGGTAGGGAAATGGAGGAAGAAGGCTAGATTTGATTCAAAGTACCACTTGCACAGATTAGGTAATACATAAATGCAAGTCTCAGATTTTTTAAATTGCATTTCTTTTGTTCTATTTATGATGAGCAGACAATAGGAAAAAATAAATATTAAAATTAAGTAACTATGCTTCTCAGGTCCATTTTGTGGGAGGGAAGAGAAGACTGCCATAAACCAGTATACCACAGAGGTGAAGTCCCTTGTCCAATCTGAACTGACCACTAGCCAGTAAACTGGAAGAAGCAGGCAGATGTGCCACACAGTGGCCTTCTGGCCTCGGGCATCAGGTACACTGGGAACGTCAGTGGCATGTTTTACAGAGGTAATGGAAAATGTCAGACACCCCTGTGAATTCAGTAAGTGGAAGTTGGTGAAGAGACCTACTTTACTTAACTTCAATAATTCTCCTTCCTTTAGAGGATTTACAGGATGTCCCTCAGACACCAGGATGGCAAGACAGATGTCCACAGTCTTGGGGACATTGATGGTTTGGCCACCAGTGGGCTTTCTGCCCTCTTGCCACCATCCTCTGCAACTTCAACCCCACAGGAAGACTCTTTGCCCACCATAGGCTACAATTCCTTGGTCTCTTCAATGCCCCTAAAGACCTTCATCTTACCTATTCTAGGGACCTTGGAAGGGCTCCACTTACAAGATCTGGAACTCGGAAACTCTTCAGTTATCCTACTTTTTCATGTCTGCCTGCTTCCCACCTTCATGAGGACACTACACTCCCTTCATTTCCTTCCTCTCTTCTCTACCTCTTCTTTTTTCATCCCTTTCTCTGGCTCTTCCTCCTTATCCTAATGGTAAAGTGCTACTTGAGTCCTCCCTGCCCTTCTCTACTCATGTTGCATGAACTCTCTCCTTGGGTGATCTCATCCTTTTCTATTTTCAACCATCCCCTTTATGTGAATGAGGCAACCTAAACTTTTCCTTCTATTCTGTACTGCTCTTTCATGCTAGAGTCTCACATTTTCCACTGTTGGGTTTCTCAGACTGGCTGTACCAAAGACTCAAAATCAGCTTCTCAAAAACTGAACTCAGTTTTACCTCCTAGGCCTGCTCTTCCTCCTGACATCCCTCTTAATGAATATTAATAAGAATATTCATTTATTGAGTGCTTACCATGTGGCAGACACTGTTCTATGAAATTTATGTGCAGTAACTCCATTTAATCCTCACAACAGTTCCATGAAGAAGATCCTATTATTTCCCTAATTTTACAGATAAACAATCTGAGGCACATAGAGCAGTTGTTTGTGATTATTACATAGTTACTGAAAGTCAAGGCTAGGACTGAAATCTAGTCTGGAGCCCCAGCACTGAACACTTAACCACTATGCTGTACTACTTCCCTTCACCAGATCTCAGTCCTAATGCTCATCTTCAACTCCACATCTCTTGTCCTGCTCAGTCCTGTGGATTTTCTTTCTGCAAAGCCTCCCCTTTCAGTTGGCTCCTCTCTGTGTCCCTGTCCTCGTTACCTAGGCCAGTTTGATTGACTTCCAGTTTCCCTCTAGTCATCCCCTCTCTAGGTCCAAAATGAAAATAGCTTTTTGTTCTTCTTCTGGCTATAAAAATTATTCATGCCCATTGTGTCACAATTAGAGATAAAAACAAATATATGATAAAGAAATTAAAAACCCAAATCATAATTTTGTCTCTCTGCAGTGATAATTATGCTCGCATATAGGTACATACTCCAGATATTTCTCTCTCTATGTATATATACAGACACATAACTTTTTAAGATTAAAAATGAAATCATGTTTATTTATTTCATTTTATTTTTTTCATTGATAACACTGGGTATTATAATTCTTTTTGATATTTTTCAACCTTAAAGGCAAATATATATTTTTGCATTAGTTTGCATTTTTCTAATTTCTAGTGATACTGATTATTTTTTCATGGACTTAATGGATACTGTATTCTCTCTCTTGCGATTTGCCTTTGTGTATATTTTCTAGTAGGTTATCAGACTTTTTCTTATTTATTTGTATGAGCTCTTTATATATTAAGCATATTAAATTTTCATTTATCAGGTACATTGCAAAAAATTTCCCTGAGTTCTTCCTATTTCAATTTTGTTTATGTTAGAGTTTGTATTTTTTTTTTTTTATTTTGGTCATAAAAATTTGGTTAAATTTTTATGTAGTTATATATACAATTTTTTTCCTTTATGTTTCCTTCCTTTGGTGTTGTTTCAAATGCTCAGGCCTGATCATATGACCTCTACACTAATTACTGGCCCCGCAGATTAGAGAAACCCAAACTCCTTAGCCAGTAGATGAGCCTTCTTTCTTGGTAGTATCACATTTCAGCTTATTTCTGGTTCTTCTCTTTCATACAATTTATACTCTATTCAATCACAATCAATTGCTATTCTGAAAATGTGTCCCTCTTTCACCACTTTTAGAAATAATGAGAAAAAACATAAAGATTTTGATAGTGAATAGAGAAGGTCATTAAACTAGATTGATATTCTTGAGATTAAAACATGGAAATCATAACTTCTCGAAATCAGAGACAGAATACATTAGGACCTTGCTTCAGGATTCCTGAGTACTTGAAAGAAGGGAATCTGAGGATGAGTGAAAGGCCTCCTGCTGCAGGTCAGTACGTGCTGCCACAGTCTACATGCAGCTAAGTGACCTAAGTAATGTAACCTGGATCATGAACACTGCTTGCATAGCTTCCCCTTGGTTAGCCGTTGCAGCAAGCTGGCTAATTACCTAAGGTTTCCCCAGAGCTCTTCCTATCCACAACTCCTTTTGCTCATTCTGTCCTCTGTCTTGAAATGCCCTCTCTCAAGTTATCTCTATCAGTCTCAACTGATATCAAAACCAACCTCCATTTCTGATCCACAAACAAGAAGCAAAGCTTTATTACTCTCTCGGGGCCACTCACCACATTCTCTCTTGCCTCATGATTATCTGAGTTCAGGTTATCTCCTTATCCTATTGCAAAATTCCCTGAGGGCAGAGATCATATCTCATCTTGGAATACTCCTCCAGTACCAAACAGAGGGCACTAGGTAGTCCTTAGTAAATTTGCTGAATAAGGAATGATCGCTAGGACCAGGTCAATGCTACATCACTGAAACCAGTACCTGGGGTTTGCATTAGGAAGGTATTTGAGAAACTCCTTGGAGGGCCATGCTGGGAATGGGGACAGGCCTATAGCCATTAATTAGGCCTTCCTTTGAATCGTCAGCAGCTCTGCCCTATCAGTTCAACATTCACCTCAGCATTAGAATCAGCTGAGGCAATATCTTTGCGATCCAGTATCTGCCCTGGAGCATTGGCTAAGCTACCAAGGACACACAGCTGGAGCCTGAGTGCCTTCCAGCTGGTACCACCACGCCTGGAGAAACAACACAGCTATTTCCACAGCACCCCAAGCCAGGATATCGCTGTGGGGGCCAACGTGCTCAATGGCAAGGTTACCATTCACTAAAACGTGGTTTAATTAACGGCAGTTGGTTTTGCTTGAACAGGGACTCAATGCAAAAATATTTAACACTGAGAGCAATGAAGAGTGTCATACCTGAATGTTAACATCTGCCCCGTTGTTCACTAACAACTCAAGACACAAAGCACCATGAGTGGAGGCAGCAGCGAAATGCAAAGGGGTGAACCCGTTGTTGTTGGGCTGGTTCACGTTAGCACCGTAGTCAATAAGCTCATTAACCACAGCATCCTGTCCGTTGTAGCAGGCGATGTGAAGTGCCGTATTTCCATACACATTGATCTCGTCAATCTGCAAAGGAGTCCAACACACGGCTTTACAAATCACTGGAGCCAATTTACTCCATTTTCTACCAAATGCCTAATGGCTGTGGCTAGAGAAAGGAAGTATCCATTGTCAACTTCATTATTCAGAGCTTACTCTCTCCCCAGCACAGTCAACCTGTGAAGGCCTGCCTCCCCAAGGTAAAGATCAGCAAAAAGTGAATGTGACAAAAAGTGAACCAGGGCAGAAGAGTTAGAGGTTTCTACCTTCTAATGTGGACAGAGGTATTTCGGGGATAGGGAAGGGATACAGGGTGATAGGCAAAGCTGCCTTCAAATCACCAGAAGAGAAGGGAATCAGGGGACCATGAGAAGAGCCCCAAACTCACAAGTCGGGGCACAGGGAACATAAAGAGAAGGGTGGGAGGTGGGCAGGGGAGCCTAAACACAGAAGTAGGCTTAGAACCCACTCTGGGTTGTGCTCTGGTGTCTGACACCTCACCAGGCCACATTCGAGTAGCAGAGCAGTGGCGCTGCCCTGAGGTGTGTGTAGTCCATGGCTCCCTACTGCTTTCCAAGACCTGCCCCGGGTGCTAGGTTTCACCATCAAGGTCTCAGTACAGCATCTTGGTTTTCTTCTCCTCCAGGGATGATGTGCCAGGGCCTCACCGCTCCTGTTCTGCTAGTTGAAGGACAATGGGGACAGGCCAACCTCTCCAGCTCAACTTTAGACACTTCTGCAGTTTGTCCCTGCCACCCATTCATTCATTTCTGCTGTCAGCCATGACTTAAAAGGCTAGTTTCTGAAGGTGGGATAGGAACCTGAGCCAGTCTTTAAAGAATGCCTGGTTAATATGTATCGCATAGAATATACATATGTCTCTATCTGTGTTGACATAGAAAATTAGACTGTTTCTGGTTTTCCACTACTTAGTCTATGCCCCCCTGCCCTTCATCAGTTGTCTGTGTAAACTAAAAAAGACAGGATGCTAGAAAATAAGTTTTTCTCCCTTAAATTAAACTGCACACAGGAGTTAGTTTGAGAACAACAGAAAAGCTCACCTCCACCCCCAGATTCAGGAGATGTTTGACAACATTGATTTGTCCATTGGAGGCTGCGGCGTGCAGAGGGGTATAACCCTTCTTATCCTTACAGGTCACTTCTGCGCCATGGTTAATGAGCAATGCCACAACGTCCAGGTGGCCTTTACAAACAAAGCAGCAGAAAACACCGTTAACCTTTATCAATTTGGCGATTCATTTTACCTAAATTACCACTATTAGCTTTTACTGCCACCAGTACTTTGCTGAGCTATTTGTAAAAAGCTGGTTCAGGCAAATATTCAACAAATATTTATTGAGTATTTACTTACTGTATGTCAGACAGTATGTAAATGCTATAGGAAGGGAAAAAGATCCATATGCAAGCCTTCTCTTCAAGGACACCTTGTAGAAGTGATGCCTATCACCAGGTCAATAAATAATGACGAGGTCTGGCCAACATATTAGTACCACAACCTAAAAAAGTTGTGTGTTAAAATGAAAGCAGTGCTTTTGAATGCAATTGCCATTCCTCACTGAAAAGTCTAACAATGACAATTTGGTTTGGGAAAACTGATGAAAGAAAAAATAAATTAATCAGAATACTCTGGATTACTGTTAAATCATACAAAATTGCTGCTGGTTGACTGTCTTTTGACCCACAAAAATGGCAATTTGATATGGCTCAGCTTAAAAGCATTCTCATGAATTAATGACTAAACAGAAAACCCTTCTAGTTTCAACTCCCGTTAGCATTTTTTTCTAGAATATTTTACTGTTTCCTAACTCACTATACATAGTATGATAAAACCTATTTGACCATTTTTTCATGACTGAAGATTGTTTGATGCTTCAGGGTTATTGCTATAAACATGGTTGATAATTGAAGAGTAAAAGACAAGTACTGACTCCAGGACCTAAACTGTGTGTGTGTGTGTGTGTGTGTGTGTGAGAGAGAGAGAGAGAGAGAGTTTGGTATTGTCTTCTTTTATTAAAATTTGACTCTTTTTTCCCCCAAGACTTGTATATAGAAAAAATGATTTCCAATTACTGGTGGTGCTATCTCAAGCTATTTGTCCTGGTTTCACCCTATTATTCCCTAAAGATAGTCATCTACATATTTTTTTTCCTGTTTGTATCCAGATGACACAAAATAATGACTTTACTTCTTTAAAGTCGTTCACCCAAATGTCTTAACTATGCATCAGCAAAGAACAAACTTGAAACCCCAGATTCTTTGTGTCCTAGCTCACCTAGCTTAGTGTGTGTTCTGCCTAAACATCTGTCTCCTAGCACATTCACAGGCTCCAGTCTACAGGTATCGTGCTTCAGCCAACTCGAAAATCCATAACTCCTTTTCATAAAAATGCTAATGCTTACAAAATTTGAAGAGTCTAGTTTTCTATGCCCAAGGATTCATTCAGACCCATCTCTAGCCACATACTTATTTCATCCCTGCCCCAGTCCACTCTTTTTTTCCCCCTACGATTAGTGTTAGTTTTTAAAATGATGATAAAAGGTATGTATGCCTGTTAAAAAGGATTCTGAAAAGCAAAAAGGTGTTAAAAGAAAAGCAAAATCACCCACAATCACCAGTCCCTGGAGATAACTGTTTCAATGTATAATATTTTCTAGATTTGCTTTTATTGCATAGATTTTTTTTAACAAAATAAAGATCATATTATTCATACAGTTTTATGATCTGTTATTATAGAATCTGCTAATAAATACCATGGGCATCATTACTGCAGTTACTGCAGAGTGTCCCCTTGTGTAGGTCTTCCATAATTTACCAAAAAATCTCCCGTGGATGGGCATTCAGGTTGTTTACAACTTGGTGCTGATAGAGTCTTGTTTTCTAATTGCAGGGTGTTCTCCAACTAGAAACACAGAGGGAGGATCTTAGTCCTTCATTTCCCACAATTCTACACTGAAGTCTATCATTTGTCAGTGGTATTTGTGCCAACAAAAGTGAAAAGGAAAAACACAGAAATGTAACCTCTTCCTTCATCTGCCTCATTCAAGCGGGCAGAAGTGAGGGCTGCAAGCCCCAGCTTGGTTGGCAGTGGAGTATCAGGACAATCCACAGTGACTCTGCTCACCTCTGCTCACAAAACAGCCAGGGGGTTATCCTCTCCTCCTTCCTTTTTGTTTCTTTCAAAAATATTTATAAATAAAAAGTCAAATGGAATTTGTGTCCTTGCTTTGCTAGCCAGACCTCTTTCGTTTTTAAACACCTTATTTTGCTGCCATGACATGTTGAAATAAGCACCATGTGTGCAGCTTTCCAATCCAGACTGAAGCACATTCAAAGAGATCCAGGCCATGATTCATTCCTAGTCTTCTTTGTAGGATAAACAAATCTCTGACAAAGCAACTGCTCAACCAGAGACCTCTATGTGTGCCAGTGAAATGGACCAAATCTTCATTCAGTGGAAACCCAAACTTGAAGTCAGACTAACTCAAGAGAAAACCTACACAGTCCTCGAGAGACCCGAGGCTTATTCAATTAAGCCTCTACACTTTGCTTTCCACACATGGAATCCTTACCCATATACGCTGCCCAGTGCAAAGCACGCCGGTCCTTCTTGTCAAATGCGTTGATGTTAGCCCCTTTGGCCAAGAGTAAATTGACCATCTGAAAGATAACCAACAACGAAATCAAGCCTACACTCTAATGGTGAGGGCTCCTCTGTGCCTTAGGTGATCTCAGCCAAATTAACATCAAATCTAAAGGCAGTTCAAAGATCTGAAGTTCTAACAAAGTAGGAAGATGATATCACAGCTGAAGCTGTGGCATGTGTGTTAAGGGACAAGACTGAAGTGACAGCCTATTTTTCCAATTCACTGTGGGTCTAAATTTAAGGATGGATATAGTTACCTAAGGTTTGATGTACAAATATTATCATCACATTCTCTAAAAGTCTCAGCAATAAGATCTGGTTGCACTTGTGGCTCAGAGGGTCTGTAGGGAGCATTCCAGTTCCCAGTGATGAGAACACCCACCTCCACATGGCCATTCAGAGCTGCATGGTGTAAGGCTGTGCGCCCCCCTCGGTCAGAGACGTTGACGCTGCTCAGCAGGGGAATGATCACTTCTGCGCATTTGACAGCCTTATTGGCTGCTGCCACGTGGAGGGGGGTCTGCCAGTTCTTGTCTCTCGCATTGACATCAGCCGAGTGCTTGATCAATACTTGTACTGCTTCCTACAACAAAAGCAGAGTTTGCAGGGGTCACTGACAAATGTTCAATCAGTACTTATTGGGTGTAAGATGCTTCACCAGACCCTGGTACTATGAGGAGAAAGGGAAGACACCTGCCCTCACAGGCTGGCTTAAGACAAGCCAGGTAATATGTGATAACGATCAAAAGACTGGCACAGGTTAAGATGATTCACTTTACCTTTCTTTGTTAAGTCAAGAGCCCTGGCACATTTCTAAAATCAAATAAACCTTCTATAAGGTATAAGGTATAAGGTATTCTCAGACCAAATGAGAGCACCATGTGTAAGTGGGCATCCAAGGATAAAATATGCAGAGGCCAAAGGGCCCCAAAAGATCATTGAAGGTTAGAAGTGTTTGCCAGTAAGCCTCCAGACTTCCAAAGCCAAAAGACCTCAAAGACATCCTTGGATCAATTTACAAACCTTTCGTTCTCTCTGTCAACACCTTAACCTGCAGTCTTGTGTGATCAATAAACAGTCAAGGGAAGTAACATGTCTGTTACTATTCACTTGAAGCTATGAAATTGTTCCATCTTTACCCAACCTTTCCATGTTATAATGGGTAACTTCTTTTGTCACTATTGAGTTCCTTCACCTTTTCTGAGCCTCCTACTTTTAATTTTCCTTCTATTGACCCAAAAAGCTCACTAGCCTTTTGACCTACATCTCTCAACCCTGTACGTACAATGAAATCACCTAAGGAGTTCTTAAAACTCCAGATGCCTGGGGCTGGCCCATGGCTCACTTGGGAGAGTGTGGTGCTGATAACACCAAGGCCACAGGTTCAGATCCCACATAGGGATGGCCGGTTCGCTCACTGTGTGAGCGTGGTGCTGACAACACCAAGTCAAGGGTCAAGATCCCCTTACCAGTCATCTTTAAAAATAAAAAAAAAACAAAAAAACTCCAGATGCCTGGTCTCACCCCAGAGATTTTAAGTGGCCTCAGCACTTCTGAAAAGCTCCCCAGGGACTTTCTTATATCACAGGGGTTCAGAACACTCTTCTGTTCAGTCAAGTGAATGACAGAGCTCCTCTCAAAAAGGAAACAGCTACTGGCTGCTTCCCTCTACTTCTAGAGACTTCCCCCAGACCAGTTAGTGGGGTTCCTTTGTTGGACGTCTCATCAATGTGGCATCAGTACCACACTCCCACACCCTGCATGGGCCAAGAACATACCCTTGTCCACCTCAATCCCCATGGGGTTGGACTGTCCAATCTACTCTACCACACAGGTATATAAAAGTGCCCCAAATAGTAGATGATCCAAACTCAGCAAAATTAACACTTATATCAAGGACATACATGATGAAATAAGAACATTGCATGAGTCAGTAGTAAGAGCCTTTTGAGATGAATGGCTAACTTGGACAGCAGAATGAGAGCAAAAACAAATTAACTGTCCAAATTAGACAATACAGTTTAAGTAAACAGTGTGATCATTAAAGGATACCTCATGTGGATGATATAAAATAAAAGGCAGTAAACTGATAGGGCCCAACTAAACAATTTATTAAGATTACCAAAAGAAAAAAAAAGATATGTGCCACCTATTTTCAGCAATACTGACAATAGGGAGGGGAGAAAGGAAGAAATTGGCAACAGGTACAAAGTTACAGTTAGGGAGGAAGACTGAAGTTCTAGTGTTCTAGGGTGACTACAGCAAAATAATAGCATACTGTATATTTCAAAATAGCTAGAAAAGAGAATCTTGAGCGTTATCACCACAAAGAAATGATAAATATTTAGATGATCGATACGCAAAGCATCCAGAGGAGATCCTTATGTAATACGTGCATGTGTTGAAACAACACACTGTACCCCATAAAGATGCACAATTAAAAATAAATGAATAAATAAAAATAAATCTAAAAAAAAAAGACTGACAATAAAGTACTTCTAAATATTCCTTGAGCCCATTTTAGAGTGAAATGTGTACGTGCATTATTAATGCTCTCCTACTGTGTGTGAATCACTGCTAGAACTATGGAAAATCAGAAGAAACATTAGCCGGACTCTAGCCTAAAAACCAGTCAAATGAAAAAAAAAAAAGAAGCAAAAGAAAAGCTAAATCAAAATATGCAATATAAATCACAATATAAGATTAAGATTAGAATCAGAAAAAAATACTATTTTTATCAACTTTGATCTCGTAAATTGTGAAGTTCAGGTAGATGCACAATCGATTGGAATGTGGCAAGAAAATATTGGAACCTCCCTTTACATTCATTTTCTTTAAAAAGGAATGCTGCTAGTTACCTTCTGGGTTGGTACTGGGCCCTCAGCCAGTACAGCAGAGGATCCTACCTCACTTACAGTAATGGAGATGCCCTTGGGGAAGAAGCATGGGGCTTGTCCTGTCCACCCATTCACTCTAAGTGCACTGAAATGTACAATGATGGGCCTGCTAAGTCAATTTACAGATTCTAACATGGACCTTTAAGCTAAAAGAACCCTAAAACATACAAGATGCATGCAAGGAACCCAGAGATTAAAGATAATAACAACGCAAGCATAAACAATGTGGATGTCACAGAGCTGAAGCTTCTTACCCCTCCTACTCAAAGCTTTCCATCACTGACACTACAAGGTAAAAGCAAGGACGAATTTAACGAGATCTGACAAGAACTTTACCAAAACAGAGAAAAATCATCAGAAGACTATTATCTACATGGATATGTAAGACTGATAAATGAAAAGCCTCACCCTAAGTATATTGTGCTTTGAAGTATCAGCTAGTTCATACATAAAATTTATAAATGCATGAGATGAATATTTTGAGGATGTATGCCAAAAATGTTTTGCAGATATATGACCTAAAAGTTTGGAGATAACCATCTCAAAGCAAGACTATAACAAATGGTATAGCATCCTTTTCACAGCAAACTAATACACACTGTCACTTGAATACCTTTGCCTTGTGTTATTTTATTGTACTTGTATAGATTCCTGCTTTGTGTTAAATAGTGTGTAAATTCAGGATAGACTAACAAAACAGAAAATACACAAGATCATTTCACAAATTTATACTATCTGGAGATAAAACCAATGAATTCATGAGAAATTTGTATTTTAAAGGTGACAAAACATGATTACTTTTAGAGTAAGTAACTCAAACTAGGTGAATGAGACATTACCTAGGAGAGGCCCATACTTACAAATGATTTGCAATTCATGAAAAGCTACACATTAAGCAAAGATAGCATATATGTTACACACTAGTTATGGTTTATGTATAAATAAGTTCTTGTAGAGTTTGTGGGGGGCAGAACTAAACCTGTATTCTTAAATAGGCAATACCTAAATACTTTAATCATAGACAAATTTTGTTCTGTTTTCATAAATAAAGTTTATTGGAACACAGCCTGGTTAGTTTGTTTATGGACGGCTGCTTTTGCATTACAACAGCAGAACTGAGTAGTTGTGACAGAGCCACTGTGCACCCTGCAAAACCTAAATTATTTACTATCTGGCCCTTCTGCAGAAAAAGTTTGCGGACCATTTGGTCTAGTCCCTGATCTGAATTGCCACAAATTGCAAATGATCAAATCTGATTAAAATAGAATTTTATTATTTACCAGCATGATGGAAAAAATTCTGTTTTAAATCAAATGGAGGCTGGCCAGTTAGCTCACTTGGTTAGAGCACCACCTTGTAAAACCAAGGTCAAGGGTTTGGATCCCTACACCAGCCAGCCACCAAAACCCAAAACAAACAAAAAATCAAATTGGCTCCTAAGGAGGGCAAATCCTGTTGAAAGAGTCAGTGGCCTCTGTATTGAGCAAGGCCCTTGGTGTGCAGTGGGGGCTCCATAGTGAATTGGGGTGGGGGTGGGGGTGGAGATAACCATTTCAAAACAGTACTATAACAAATGGTATAGCATCCTTTTGAGTGAACAGGATGGAGATAACAGGGTGGAGATAACCATCTCAAAGCAATACTTAACAAATGGTATAGCATCTTTTTGAGTGAACAGCAAACAGCTGCATTGTTGTTTTGTAAAATAGAGTGAGAAGCATTTGGAGAGAGGACAGAAAGAGGAGAGAGAATGTGGGTGCTGCACTCCAGGGTAGAGGTGCACACCTGGGCTGGGACAAGGTCAGCAGGAGGAGCGAGAAGAGGGGAAAGCTGCCACATAACCCAAACTACTGCAGGAGGAGCAGGGTGGAGCCAGGCGATCAGCGATTTAAATCTCCAGGCATTCTTTGAAACCATTGGGGGAACACTAGACTTTACACAAGATATGGCATGTAGCTGCTAGCCAGTCATATCTGTTTAGAAGGCAAGGTGATCCTAACGGACACCTGGGTTACACCTAAACAATTACTAAAGGAAAAGGTTCGAGTTCATTATCAGATGGGGAAGAAATCAAGAGAAGTAGACAGGGTCTCTAATAAATCTCTTTTTGTGTGAACTTCAGGCAAGTCCCATGTGAGTGCCAATTTCGCCCCATTCACCTTTCATACCAACACGCTCTTTTACAGCTCAAGGACACCTAGAAGAGCCATGACTTTTATTTCTCTACTTTTGTAAAATACTCCCACTTTGCCATTCTCCATTTTTATTTCCATATTTGTTTATGTAATGAGTTGCATAGTTTTCATCCTGCTAACAAGAAGGGAAGCTATCAAGACTTAGTTAGCAGGGAAAGGAGGAGTTCCTACTTAATTTCCAATATTAACATTTTTTAATGAACATACAGTAGTTTAAGATGATTACGGAAATAAATTTGCAGACATATAGGATATGAGAAATGGGGAAGACCTTAGCGGTCATCTGGGTTGACCCCTTAATTTCATAGACAGGATGACTGAGGTGAGGACCCGTCAGCCTTGCCGACTTACGGGCTCATGCATTTTCTCCTTGGCCAGAGCTTCCTCAGTGGATAGTCTCAACCGTGCATCCCGACATAAGTATATTCAAATATTAATTCTCCTCAGCTATTTGCATTTTTATTTTATTTTTTGTGGCTGGCCAGTAGAGG